CACCCCCTCCACCCTTCCCTATTTACAAAGACTTTATTTCCATTTTTTCCATTTCTCATCATTTTGTCCTTTCCCTTTTTTCCTTTCCCCTGTGCCTCCCACTACCCCTACCCCTTTGGACCTTTTATTCCTAGTTTTACATTACCAGATACCATTTTTACATCAGCGATCACCATGTTAGAGACTGGGCATCTCCCTGTGTAGCTACCAATAAAAGAAAGGAAGGAAATAAGCTTCACTAGACTTTGAATCTTGCCTATTTCTCAGCCTAAGTCACAACATCTTTAAGTAACTTCCCTAATTACTGCCTTGTTCCCAATTACTTTTCCATTCCTCAGAATGGACAGACCTCACAGTCATGAGGAACAGCCCTGAAAATTGCCTGCATGGTATGACACTTGCAGAGTTCACCACAAATCCGTGTGTCTGAGCATAGCTGAGGCATAATGAACAACATTCCCGGGGGTGGAACCCGGAAATGTACATTTTCAAACAAATTCTACACAAGATGCTAAGCAGATTTTTTTTGGCTCAAATTTGCAGTTCATGTAGTTTACAATCATCTTGGGGAATGGTTACATGTACATATTCCTGCTTCTTTCATTTTTTTTTAATCCCCTTGCCTCCTCCTCCTCCAGTTCTCCTATCCCATTTTTCATTCTTCTTGATATTATTTGTCTATAATAGAATACTACTTGGCTATAAAGAATGACAGATTTGAGACATTTGTAGGAAAATGGATGCACCTGGAAAACACAATGTTGAGTGAAATAAACCACACACAAAGTTAAATACTTTATAGTATCTCTCATTTGACTGAGGCAAAGTATAAAAAAATATCTAAATGAAAAAGGATGGGTAGAAGGGGACAAGGGGATAGATCTCCTGCAATAGGGAAGTGGTCCAAGGGAACAAAGGTGAGGGTTGAAGAGGTGAGGAAGGGGAAATAAGAATAATAAAGATATGCCATGTTCAGGATCTTAATAGCTTAATAGCTTCAATTAATGTAAATGTTATATGCCATAACATGAGCTAAGCAGATTTTTTAAACTCTATTATATGCCACTTCTTCATAACTTACATGTTTCAGATTAATGAATGCTCTTTTTCTGTATGTGATGATTATGTTCATAACTAGAGTATAAGATTTCTTTAGTTGAAAGACTATATCTGCATTTATATTTTGCCTAATTAATATATCATGCTTTTGTTAAACACATTTAGATTTTTTTCTATTAGGTATGAATCAAATTATGAATATTATTTTCTCTGTTCATCAGAAATCCATCAGATTTTGCACTTATACCAGAAATCACTAGATATATTTTACCTAGAACCTTTGAAGTGTGTTATTGAATAGTGAGTCTTTTTTCTCTAGAAAAATGGAATTTTAAAAGAGTATTTTACAATTAAGAAGAGTGAGCCTATCTTAAAGTATTACTGAAAGGAATGATTTACTCTCTAACCACGATGGTGGGAATGAATCCTGCAAGCAGACTAAGTAGTGCTTACAAGTACAAATTTATCACTGCCCACAGTGGTAAAGATGATTCTTTTATACATAAGGTAAAAAGTGAAAGTGAAAAGACTTAGTTAATATATCTTCAAATCGACTTTCTGAAAAGCTCATGGTGGCTAGTATTTTGAAAGCTAGGTAGCAGAGGCAGATTCTTACCTGAATTCTAGTGAAATCTGGAAGCTCATGTGGGCTTCGGGACCATCACAAGTCTGAGGTATTGTCTGCACTTCAAGAGCGAAGCCAGAGTCTTCCTTCTCCAAGAGCGCATTGTATTTCAAAGCTGTCTGTTGAATTAAAGAATAGAAATAGTTGTCTCCAGACCAGAGGACCCCTCAGTCTGTCACCATGCCATGTTCCCTGATTTGCTCTTTACTTGTAGAGGCAGGAATAGGTATGGGGGGGGGGGGGGAACAGCTGAATCTATCCGACTTACTGCAAGAATCTTACCTGAGTGTATACACATCCTTCCCCTGACACATTTATGTTGTACTCCCCTGGAATGTTTGGTAATGTGACCTGCTGCAGCAATGGGCAATTACTGTTCTCCACTTGGAATTTTGTGGAAAATGTCCCTGAAGACTGGATTGTCACCGAAGACATTTTCCCAGTTCTGGAAAAAGTAGCGGCTCCATATCTGGACAAAGCATGGAGAGCTACCACTGTGTCCTGGAAGAGATGGAGGTGAGAGCTCAAGAATGCATCAACTGTTAGGGGCTTAGATTCTTCCCAAAGCCCATTTCTGGTATTACAAAGGTGTGGGAGGTTTGCTCTCCTATTAAATGAACTCTGAATTTTAATTCAAAGACAGATGTTAATCCATGATATATCTGATAATCAAAATGTTCACATTATTTCACTATACTCTTATCCCTAAAATAAGCAAATTCTTTCATGGCAAGTAAAAAATGTATGTATGAATCCAGGCCATTTCCTATAGTTTCCTATTTTTCTTTCACTGACACCCAGAGTGACTCCCGCTATTTTCCCACGAAGTTACAACCTTGTTCTCTCTCTTCGCCAAACATTCTCTGGCTTCATATGTGAACTCAAGAGACACAAAGGTAGTCACCAAGTATTGCTCTAATCAGATTAGTGCTCTAGTCAGATAAAGTGAAACCCTATTCTACTGCTGTCCAAGATTTTTCACTCTCTCCATGCTAGAGAATGTACTCCATGCTCCGGAAGGATTTCTCCCATTAGATCGCTTCTTCTCTTCCATTACAAATGGATCTTGATAGTGTCCTTTAGAAAACAGAACTCAAAAGAAACAAAAACAACCACACAGACAGTGTCTTCATATCCTGATTATCCATTTCAAAGGAAAGATGGAGAGAACTGAATTACAAAGCGGAGTGGTACAGATAATAAAAATTTCCTCTCCCACGTTGTATTTCTCCTTTGGAAGAATCAACCATTTTGCCAAGCTTCTCTAAAGTTCAGACATATATCCCAGAATACCAGAATTAAAGGTTATAGTGCTATGTTGTTACAGGTGTGTTTTTTAGAAATATTTCTTGATAGAGCTATAAGCGGCTGGAAGATCAGTGAATGGTTTATAGTCCTGATTGATCCAAATATCCGAAGGTGGTGAGAGGAAGCATGAATTTCTGTCACTTCTGAGAAAAGTCAAGGGTGACCTACTTAAAATTAAGAGCCAGATAGTCTTTTAGGAGAGGAGTGAAAGAAGATGTACCTAGGACAGCAAGAACATCAAAAATACAAGTTTGGTTCACACACCGTATCTTAGACTATCTACTGTGCTTGCTCAGTTAAGAGATTACTTCCATAGGACACATGTGTAAATACCAAATAGTTTCTCAGGTGTGAAAAACTAAAAGTGTAAATAAGGATCAAAATGTATAACTGATATTGTGAAATAGGAAGAAAAGGTCTAAAGGAGTAAGGGAAGTGGGAGGGGCAGGGGAAAGGAAAGAAGGGAAAGGAAAAACTATGAGAAAAGGAAAAAAATGGAAACAAATAGGGAAGGGTGGAGGGGGTGAAGGGGGGGCCAGGAATGGGGAAAAAATAAGAACCGAGATACATCATGTAAAGGTACAAGATCCCAATGATGAATGTAACTGTATTGTATCCCTAAAATGTACCAATAAACTTAATGGAAAAAGAGAGCTACTACCCCTAGGATTCTAGACATTTCAGAATTTTTGCCACTGTTCATAAATCAGGATTTGCTTCCTGACTAAAGGGCTCAGTGGTGCAACCCTGCTTTCATAATTAAGGTATAAAGAGAACTCTAGAACTCCAGCACAGGCGTGAGGAAAACTGTGGGGAAAGTGAATGTTTGGGGCTCTTTGTCTCATTTTCTGCAGACTCAAAATGCTCTTACTTGGCCTTCCCTTGACCCTTTCTGTCCTCCTCTCTCTTGGCCTTGCCCTTGTGACTGCTCATTTATCTCTTGTCCTGACCTCTCACCACACCCTGACTCTCAAGGACGAAGGCTGAAGGAACCCACCCACCTGGGTGGAGGAGAAGCCGCCCTGGGAGTTCTGTTGCTTTGTGACTCAGTTCACAATGCGCGCTGCGGAAGTCAGCTCCTCTGGGTCAGGGCTGGCTGGGCTGTGAGGTGAGCGAGGAGGACGTAGGCCGTCATCTCCACCTCCGCAGAGGGCGCCTGGGGTTGGTACAAATATCTCTCCGGTTCTCTGGGTTTCTGAGGTCGCTCCCAATGAACTGAGTTATCTTCTGGATAAGAACAAAGGAATAATTAAAATATGATTGTACATAAAAATAAATATATATAAAAGCTGGAGTCACTTTTTAAAGCTGTTAATCCAGGGTAAAAAAATTGAGCTTATTTTCTGTGGTTGAGGAAAATAATGAGGCTAGAAGTTCGTAAGGTAACAACTGAGTTATTTTCTCAAATGTCATTCTAGTAGAATCGGTGAGGAGAATAAGGCATGATTTCTCACTGGTTCACCCCCTCACTTCCAATCTCAAGTTATTTGTTCAGTGTTTAGCTGAAATGAAAGAGGAAACTTACCAACTTCAAAGTTGTAATAAAAATAGTAAAACACCCAAGCTATTGTAATGGATTATAGTCCCTTTCCTAAGGTTCTTTTTTTATTTATTTTTGGTACTGGGGATCAAACTTGGGACTTGGGTCCTTGCCCTTGCATGGCAGGCAGCAGAACCACTGAGCTAAATCCCAGCCCTTTCCTGTGGTTCTTAGTAGTTTTTATTCATCTTGATATCTAGGTGGCTCATAAAGAAAAGTATGTCAACCATGTTGTCTTTGTAAAGAGGCTGAAATACCTGAGTTTTCCTGTAATACTGCTTGTTCTGTGTGTGTGTGTCAATCTGATTGCCTTGAGAGCCTCCTAAGGATTAAAAAGGCACCTTCAGGCTGGGCCTGGGCAGGCCACACAGGTGTGGCATTGTTCCTTATCTGATCCCTGATCTCCTCCTCTTTGGTGTCTCTGCTCCCCTGCTCTGCTTCTTGGCTGCCATAGCTGAGGACCTTAGCTCCACCATGCTCTTCTACCATGATGTTTCTCCCTGGGAGTCTGCTGACCATGGACTGAGCACCCCAGAACTGTATGCCAGACTAAACCTCTTCTCCTTGAAGTTGCAGGTTTCGTGTATATTGTACCAGGGACAGGACAGCTAATATATGACCTAACAAAATATTTCTGGGAAAGTGTGGGTATATTATGACCACTCATCTTGGAATGGGATGAGTTGTCATAGAAATCACAGTATTTCATAGTGGACCAAATCAAAAGGGAAAGTTATTTTCAGGAATTCATATCCCTTTTGCAATCCTTTGGAAATGAATGGAGAGAAAAATCTTGACAAATACCTTCACCTTCTTTCACGGCTTCCTCATCAATTGATTTCAGTATTTCTTTCTTCTTCTCCTGGTTTCCTGCCAGGGCAAATGCGTATGCCAAGAGTGCCTTGGTGTAGACATGGCTGCCGTTAGTCACCTCCTTTGTTGTTTCCCAGGTTGAATTCAGGCAGATCAGTGCTTTGCTGACAATAGGATGCTATGAGGAAGAACAGTGGTGCTGTGAACTCTGGGAAAAGTGTTCCTAGGGGGTCCTGAAATGACCATAGAGACTATGGGATAGACATACCAGTGCTTTTCCAATCTGTCTCTCTATCCATCTATCTAGCCACCTGTCCATCTATTCTCTCACCATCTTTTTCTAAAACACACTTTTTAAAAAGATTATT